AGGAAGCCACAATAACATTTGGGACAGTATTAAGCAGTTAACAGACATGTAATTGGAATCCTAGAAAGAGAAGCAAGTAAGACCAGTGCGGAAAAACATATACAATACAGTGGAAAAATTAACTGCACTAGGCACATCATACAAATGGCTGAAAATAAAGTAAAAACAAAAACAAAAACAAAAACAAACAAAAAAACCTCAAAAGTGGCCAGAGGAAAAGGGCGTGTTATATACCAAAAAATGGGTAAGAATGAAAACTTCTCATCAGAAACAATGAAGGCTGAAGACATGCAACAATCCTTAACGTGATGAAGGAAAAGAGGTGTCTACCTAGAATTCTAAATCCAGCAAAAATATCCTTCAAAAATGGTGAAATAAAGACTCAGAAAAACAAAATCTGATAGAATTGATCTCCAACAGAACTAAGCTTCAATAAATTAAAAGAATGTCTCCAGGCTGAGGGAAAATTACTCCGGGTGAAAGCATAGGTTTGCATGAAGGAATGAAGAGCAGTGGATAAGGTTCCCATGTGGGTAAATGTAAGACTTTTTTCTCCTATTTTTTTCCTTTATTTAAATTAAGAATACGATGCAGTTTATATCGTAGCAGTAAAATATGATGACAATATCACAAAGGATGGAAGAGGATAAAATGGAATATATCCATCCCTAACTTACGGGTAGATTTTTATTATATCTCACATGCAGATTGTAATCTCAGAGCACACCCATGCCGTCTGATACTCTTCCACTGTGCAATGCTGCTGTCAAGTGAACTTTTTTTTTCTTTTCTCTTTTTTTTTTTGAGGTAAAGTCTCACCCTGTCCCCTAGGCTGGAGTGCAGTGGTGCAATCTTGGGTCACTGCAGCCTCCACCTTCTTGTTCAAGTGATTCTCCCACTTCAGCCTCCCAAGTAGCTGGGACATGCCACGACACATGGCTGATTTTTGTGTTTTTAGTACAGATAGGTTTTCACCATGTTGGCCAGGCTGCCTCAGGTTATCCACCTGCCTCAGCCTCCCAAAGTGCTGGGATTATAGGCATTAGCCACCACGTCCAGCCAAGTGAACATTTTTGCCATTACTTGTTTACATTATGAAGTTAAAATATTGACGGTAGTGTATGGCATCATTATCATTTCCATCAAATCCATGATTAGACTGACAAATCCATGAAATTTTACAGGCTTGCCCTACTCACAACCCCTTCTGCAGAAAGCTGACAGAGTTGGTCCTTCTCCATAATTTGCCCTGTCCTGAGGTATACGACCCTTCTATACTGTCCACAATTGATTGTATCAGGGATCTATGTCCTAGTTAAGGACCATTATCCTTTCAGTTGGACATAAGGGAGGCCAGGCCGGGTATGGTGGCTCACGCCTGTAATCCCAGCACTTTGGGAGGCCAAGGCGGGTGGATCATCTGAGGTCAGGAGTTGGAGACCAGCCTGGCCACCATGGTGAAACCCCGTCTCTACTAAAAATACAAAAATTAGCTGGGTGTGGTGGCGGGCGCCTGTAATCCCAGCTATTTGGGAGGCTGAGGAATGAGAATCGCTTGAACCCAGGAGGTGGAGGTTGCAGTGAGCCGAGATGGCATCATTGCACTTCAGCCTGGGCCACAGAGCAAGACGCTGTCTCAAAAAAAGGGGGGGAAGGGGACAGGCCGGGTGTGGTGGCTCACACCTATAATCCTAGCACTTGGGGAGGCCAAGACGGGTAGATCCTGAGATCAAGAGTTTGGGACCAGCCCTGCCAACATGGTGAAACCCCGTCTCTACTAAATACAAAAAAAAAAAAAAAAAATTAGCCAGGCGTGGTGGCACACACATGTAGCCCCAGCTACTTGGGAGACTGAGGCAGGAGAATCACTTGAACCTGCGGGATGGAGGTTGCAGTGATCCAAGATTGCACCTTTTCACTCTAGCCTGGGTGAAAGAGCGAATCTCTACCCAAAAAAAAAAAAAAAAAAAAAAAAGGAAGCCAGTAGCCAGAATAATCTCCACCCAATCAGGGAGCTCTATTTTGGATTATAACTAACAGACTCAATCGGATCGTCTCTCGGGGACTATAGAGAATAGGAGAAGTAGCAGAGGCGAACATGGGCAGGGAAGCTGGAGAGCACATGAATAAGAGGATGCACATTGTAACCACAGGGCAATAGACATCCACTTCAAAAGCAAGGACTCAACTACATGACAAAGAGCCATTTTTTTCCCAGCTCTCCAAGAAGGTTTGCCTCTGATCAGCATTAAAATAAGCCTCCAGCATCTAAGATAATGTCAACGTGCCTTTGTTCCTTGTAACTTAAAGGAGGCAGCCCGAATTCTTCATGAAAAGAAAAACCCAGACCTGCAATATACAGCACATTAAGATAAAATAAGTCAGGCATAAAAAATACCACATAAAAAAGATTATACAACCTGAAATCTAGGCTTTGACATTTACTTTAATAGAGGGAATAAGAAAAATGTGCAATGAAAATTACTCTATAGTTGTTCAACAGATAAATGAAAATGTGAATACTTAAGCACCCACAGAGTTTGCTCAATGGCATTTAAAAAGCATGCATTCTTCAAACTAGAATTCAAGAATCAAGGGTAAGTTAGGAAGACATTAGTAATTATGCTTATTTTCCTGGGCTCTTTACATAAAAATGAAAGTAATTTCCAGACCATAAAGCTCACTTTTAAAGATACCTCAATTAAAAATATTTTCTCTCTCTATACATGTGTAAATCTTTTGTCATAACCAAAATAGGTTATTGGAAATAAAACATGTATTGTAGCCAATTCAAGTTGAAAAAAAAGAAACCTGGGTCTCCTTCAGTTGTCAAGCCATGAGAGCTTCATCTCATATCAATCTTAAGATCTCTGTAAACACATAAGCTTTCAATTATTATAACTTTAAAAAGCCACTTCAAAAGTCACCACATAATTACTTTGGTTTCCTTGGCATCCAAGTACTTTTTAAAAGCTTACTTTCTAGCTGTAATTATTTTGAAGTTTGGCATTCATATCTTTGCATTTCCATTTCCAAAGTACTCTGCAGTTCTTAATATTTTTGAACAAGTCAGTAAAATAGTTTTGCAGCACTTAAAAGTTTTTAACGTAGTTCCCTAATAAATTGCTGTTCTGAAAAATCCCTATATAAGACAAAGCCTTTGCTCAAGTTTGTTCATGGTCTCTCCTTTTGCTTGCAAATGGTACAACTGTGCCTGTCTCAGGGAACAATCACTCTAATAGGGTATTAAAGAGACTGGGAATGTTTCCCCTCATTGAATATATCCACTCAGTTAGGAAAACTGAGTTATCAATACAAAAGGGTTATAAACCCAGATGGGATCTTAGATGTGCTTACAACATAAACTCATAAGAGTACTACAAAAGAAAGCAAAGACAACACTATGATTCTCATAGAGAACTGCATATTCCCAGGGTAGTTTTCTTCTGAAGAAATTAGGATACTTTACTATCAAAGTGAAAAATATTTCCCTAATTAAGCATCCATACAAGCTGCATTTCCTTTATGACTCCAGTTTTTATTCATGGGTTTTAAAATACCCCAAGTAAACCTGGTATATAACATTAATACTACTATAATTCTAATTATCTACTTGGAACACCACTTTCATATACTGGGATTTCTGGGAGTGGTGTGATTTTAAAACACAGTGTATGTTTATATACACTGCCACAACCCTTCTTCTCCCACAAAATATTAATTTAGTAAATATTTAATACTGAAATCATGCCTTTATCACTTGGTAATTATTATAATTAAGTTGGCAATATAAGTAGCTTAATAGGTAACTAGTATTTGGACTTCATACTTTAATTTTGAAAACTCACTGTTAAACACAGGTATGTTCTATTTGAACTCTGTTCAATGAGCTTCAATTTCATATTTAAAGCAACTCTATCAAGTGATTCATACCTTAGCTTCAACATACACTCATGAAAAACTCACTATTGCAGCTGGGTGCGGTGGCTCACTCCTGTAATCCCAGCACTTTGGGAGGCCAAGGAGGGTAGATCGTTTGAAGTCAGGAGTTTGAGACAAGTCTGGCCAACACAGTGAAACCCCGTCTCTACTAAAAATATAAAAGCCGAGCATGGTAGCCCACGCCTGTAATCCCAGCTACTTGGGAGGCTGAGGCAGAAGAATCGCTTGAACCCGGGAGGCAGAGGTTGCAGTGAGCCAGGATCACGTCCCTGCACTCCATCCTGAGCGACAGAGCAAGACTCTGTCTCAAAAAAAAAAACAAGAAACAACAAAATTAGCCAAGCATGGGGTCACACACCTGTAGACTCAGCTAGTCAAGAGGCTAAAGTGGCAAGATAGCTTGATCTCAGGAGATTGAGGCTGCAGTGAACCATGATCACATCACTGCTCTCCAGCCTGGGTGACAGAGTAAAACTGTCTCAAAAAAAAAAAAAAAAAAGAAAAGAAAAAACGGAAACCTAGGTATATGAAGCCATCATGAAACTGATGTACTATATAAGCCAGAGGCAACCTTTGCTGGAACTCACCTGATTTTAATAAACTTTCCTTTTCATTTAAGCCATTTTGAAGTGGAGTTTTACTGCTTATAGTTAAAAAGGATCTTTCTGGATTTCCACGTTGGCTTATATAAAAAGATTGAAATTATAAGCCTGAGCCTTGTGTTTATGACTCAGAAGCATGACTTACTAACTTGGTGAATGGGGGCAGGGCACTAACCATCTTGAGGTACAAGTGAAACAACAGCATGTATTTTGTAAGTACAGTTATGAAAAAAGAGAGGGCAACTCAGTGTGTTAGCTGTACAATGTCTATAAACTTTAACAGTCAGACAAGTTCTAGCAAACAACCTAGTATATCAAGTGGGGCCAATAATGGATCTACACCCCAACCCCACAATGTTTAAATTCAAGATGCTCCACCCAATGTCTACATTATGAAAACTGCCCCCTCTATGATCAAAAACATTTGAAGTCAAAGGAAACAATTATGACTGCATAAATGCTAATAAATGAACATTTTATTTGGGTTAGCATTAGTATTCTGATTTTTAAAGTTAGATATAGAGATATCACGAATTTGATCTTCAACCCAAACCTTTTTTTTTTTTTTTTTTTGAGACGGAGTCTTGCTCTGTCGCCCAGGCTCGAGTGCAGTGGCGTGATCTTGGCTCACTGCAAGCTCCACCTCCTGGATTCACACCATTCTCCTGCCTCAGCCTCCCAAGTAGTTGGGACTACAGCCACCCACCACCATGCCCGGCTAATTTTTGTATTTTTATTAGAGACGGGGTTTCACTGACGTCGTGATCTGCCCGCCTCAGCCTCCCAAAGTGCTGGGATTACAGGTGTGCAACCCAAACTCTAAATCCCCTAATAATACCTTAATTAAGGGTTACCTTAACAAATCCCTTAATTATACTTCATGCAGGAAAACAGCATGAAGTATAATCAACTGTGAAACAGGTTAGGACTGGGTACAGTAGGTCACACCTATAATCCTAGTACTTTGGGAGGCTGAGGCAGGAGGATTGCTTGAGCCCAGGAGTTCAAGACCAGCCTGAGCAGCACAGCAATACCCCGTCTCTTTTAGGGGGAAGAAAAAAAAACGGCTGAGCCAACAACATGATAGGGAGGTGGTCTGCTATTGGCAGCAATTCAAACAACATGGCTCAAGCAATCTCTATTAAAATATCTGGAACGAGAAATTAACAGATAGTCATATTCATGAAGCTATAGTTTTTTTTTCTGACTATCAACGATTCTGTACCAGAGACACATTCTGAAATTTACATTATTCTTCTTAAACATTTTATTAGAAAGTACTTAAATACTTAATACATTAGTATTTAAGTACTTAAGTTAGTATTAAATACTAATTTAAGTATTAGTATTCAAGTACTTACACAATTTATTGACTAGTCATATATATATAGACACATATAAATTTATTGACTAGTCATATATATAAATATGGACACACATACATATACATATTTACACATACACAAACATACACATAAACATACAGTAGACCAAAGGGAGCTTTAAAACAAACACTAAATAATATTTAACTGCAGAATTAGAAAATACATTGTGAACTTCCTAAGTTATTAATCACGTTATGAGAATGTAACTTTTATGTATTAAAAAATAAAACAAGGCAAAAACTTTATTGCATTTAACAATATACAAAATAGAATATACAAAATAAAAAAATCCATTATCAGACTGTAGATACAAAATGATTAGTTATTTGCATGTAATAAACATTAATATTTCAATAAAATATATTTTAAATAATATAGAATAGTATTACCAGACTGTATTTGGACAGTATAGTATCACAAAACGTTACAGGAAATAGTAACAATCTGCAAATAACAGAATTTTTTGTATTACATACTAAATACAAGTTTTATCTCCATTTATGCATGTCATTAAAGAAAATGTTAAAGAATTCTTATTCTAATTTTGTGTACTTTTATTCTAGAACTATGTATTGCAATTTCCAAGAAATAACCTACAGTTTCCCAGAAGGATTATTTTTAATACTGGCAGTCTTCCTGTTCAATACACAAAATATCATTCTTTTCTTCTGTCAGAAAACTCAAAATTAAAAACTACACCAGGCTCTTTGTTCAGTGTTTTCTCTTCTTCTTGGATGCAGTGAACTCTAAAGACATAAAGTTTAAAAGTCAGTCAGATCGGGAAAAAAAAAAAACTTGACACTTAAATGATAATACCTAATTGATAACATACATTTAAACTACATAGCTATCTAACTGGCACAACACAATAAGGATGCCCTCACAGCAAAGACACAACAAAAAAATCTTAAACCTGACATATTCAAGAATTTTTTCTTCAAAATGATATAGCAGTTTAAAACATACTATCAGCCAGGAGTGGTGGCTCGTGCCTGTAATCCCAGCACTTTGGGGGGCTGAGGTGAGCGAATCATGAGGTCAGGGGATCGAGACCTTCCTGGCTAACACGGTGAAACCCCATCTTTACTAAAAAAAAAAACAAAAAATTAGCCGGGCGTGGTGGCGGGCACCTGTAGTCCCAGCTACTCAGCAGGCTGAGGCAGGAGAATTGCTTGAACCCAGGAGGTGGAGGTTGCAGTGAGCCAAGATTGTGCCTCGGCACTCCAGCCTAGATGACAGAGCGAGACTCCATCTCAAAAAAAAAAAAAAACATAACAACAATAAAAAATACTATATCCACTGAGATAGTAAGATCTCAATCTTATTGCAATATCAATCTATTAAGATAGTGGCCCTTAGCCATTCTAAATCCTAATTAATAATAAGTTACTGTGAAGTTGTTTCATACGGGTACACCCTCCCTATAATTATATGAACCCAGGGTGCTAGATCTCAAAGGTATTTAGGCCAGTACTAAGAAGAAGAAAATGACTAAGATTTCAATTTCATTTCAATTAAACCTAGAAATGTAACCCAAAACACTAGTACCATACATCATTCTGGCTACCACAGGAGACGCCAGAACCAACACTCGAATAATTGTCCATCTACAAACAGCATGAACCTAAAGGTTACTGATCATTAAAAGCAAAGAAAGCAATAGAAAACACAAAAACATGAAAATTATAAAAGATGTGGCAAAAAGAAATATTCTGGCCAAGCACGGTGGCTCATGCCTATAATCCCAGCACTTTGGGAAGCCAAGGCAAGCGGATCACTTAAGGTCAGGAGTTCAAGACCAGCCTGGCCAACATGGTGAAATCCTGTCTCTACAAAAATACAAAAATGAGCCGGGCATGATGGGGGGCGCCTGTAATCCCAGCTACTTGGGAGGCTGAGGCAGGAGAATCGCTTGAACCCGGGAGACGGTGTTTGCAGTGAGCTGAGATCACGCCATTGCACTCGAGCCTGGGTAACAAAGCAGGACTATCTCAAAAAAAAAAAAAAAAAGAAAAAAGAAAAAAAATATTCCCCACCAGTGCAAAAGAAAAGGGAAATGGCAAAAAAAGAAAAAGAGAAAAGACAAGTAAAAAAAAAAATTAAGATGAAAATAAATTCCTAAGCCAGGCACGGTGGCTCATGCCTGTAATCCCAGCACTTTGGAAGGCCGAGGCAAGTGGATCACTTGAGCCCAGGAGTTTGAGACCAGCCTAGGCAACACAGTGTGACCCTGTCTCTACAAAAAATACAAAAATTAGCCAGACAATGGGGCACGTGCCTTCAGTCCCAGTGACTCAAGAGGCTGAGGCAGGAGGGGAGGACAGCCTGAGATGGGGAAGTTGAAGCTGTAGTAAATCACTGTGATCGTATCACCGTACACCAGCCCGGGCAATCCAGCAAGACCCTGTCTCACGAAAAAAAACAAAGAAAACAAATTCCTGGAAGAGAGCAGCAGTCAGGATTAGAAGTACTGAAACAATGTCCAGATGAAAGCAGGTCAGAGGTCTGACAGAGACATCTCTACAAAGATGAAACTGATAGGATACCTAATGGATATCCATACCATCATTTATTGTGTTATCCTTGACTCTGAGATGTCATTAATGATATGACTAATACTGAAATTCTCTAATGGGCCAAAGATGAAAGGATCACAGGAACACACAGCAAACTGTCATGTTCCTCAAAGGTTCTAAACCTTGATGCTCTACGAATGTAAGTTAGTTTACTTCACTAGTTTGACGAAATTTTATCTGTACCTGTTCCACTCAAACTTTCATTCTCTTCTTCTGTAATTACAGGCATACTCAGACTTAAAGGTTTATCTTCCTTTTGTATATTCTGCACGTTACCTAGAAATATTTAGAAAATGATTTTATATGAAAGCAAAGATATTATACTTTTTGAGAAAATATTTTACAAAAAATGTCATTATTACAGCATAAAAATTAGACATGTAAAAACTTAAACTGTAATGGTAAGCAGAAATACGCATTCTAGAATACCTATATTTTTTCAAGTACTAACATAGTTTATTTATACTTTGAAAGTAGTCTCTAGTTCTTCCACTAGATAAAACAGAGAAAAAAGGAATAAACAAAATTAGCCAAACACAAATACCATATTTAATCTTTATCACACACAACAGGGGTTATATCTGCAACCATCAAAGAATAATCACATATGTTACTTCAACTTTATTAAATTAATTACAAATGTAGTTTTTGAGTTTAACCACCTTACTTTTGGATGTGAACATACTTTCTTTTCTCACCACATATGCCCTACAAGATATATTTCTCTAGTCATAATTTGCGACTGACTTTCCATTTTCAAAAACACTAGAGGTTCTCTACATCAACCTTCTGTTACCTGAAGAAATATCCCAACCAAATGTATCAGATACCATTATCATATCAAGTACCATTTAGCACAAAACTTCCATGTCCCAAAAGCAACCCCCATAAACAGTGACTATTTTTATGCTGTTTTTCTTCGCCCAACACTTTTCTCATTTGATATATTGTATCTTGCTTTTTTTTTTTTACGGAGTCTCACTCTGTCACCCAGGCTGCAGCGCAGTGGCGCAATCTCAGCTCATTGCAACCTCCGCCTCCTGGGTTCAAGCAATTCTCCTGTCTGCCTCCTGAGCCTGCACACTGAGAATAGAAAGATTTCACCACAATAAGTGTAACAGATACACTATTTTTTTTTTTAAAAAAAGAGAAACATAAGAACAAAGCACTGCGGCATGAAGCCATTTAGTATAAACTGCCCCACACTTAAGCTATTTTTTTTTTTTTTTTTTTTTTTTTTTTTTTTGGAGACAGTCTCTCTCTCTGTAGCCCAGGCTGGAGTACAGTGGTACAATCGCAGCTCACTGCAACCTCCGCCTCCCAGGCTTAAATGATTCTCATGCCTCAGCCTACTGAATAGGTGGGACTACAGGTGCATGCCACCACATTGGCCAGGCTGGTTTCAAACTCCTGACCTCAAGTGATCCACCTGCCACAACCTCCCAAACTGCTGGGATTACAGACGTGAGCAACCGCATCTGGCTTCTCTCTTGATAGAATCATTACATTATAAAACCCAGTAACATAATCCTCATGATGGTGACCATGACTTGTCAAAAGAAAATTAAATTATGTTAAGGATACAGTGTTACAGAAAATAAGAGCATAAAATATATTTTACTTTAATATACTTATAATTACAAAAATGATAAATGTAGAACAAAGGAAACATATAAAAGAGAATGCAATACATTTGAGAAAACAGCCAAGAATAATTAAATTTTTAAAAAGTAAATTTTGGCTGGGCGTGGTGGCTCTCGCCTGTAATCCCAGCACTTTGGGAGGCCGAGGTGGGTAGATCACGAGGTCAGGACTTCGAGACCATCCTGGCCAACATGATGAAACCCTATTTCTACTAAAAATACAAAAATTAGCCAGGCATAGTGGCGAGTGCCTGTAATCCCAGATACTGGGGAGGCTGAGGCAGGAGAATCGCTTGAACCCAGGAGGTGGAGGTTGCAGTGAGCCGAGATCATGCCATTATTGTGCCACTGCACTCCAGCCTGGGTGACAGAGCAAGACTCTATCTCAAAAAAAGTGTTACATCAACAGTAGTTGCTATCATCTTCATCCATCATAGCACTGATATTACTGATGTCCTATCAACATGCATGTTATGTTTGAGGAATGGTGAGCACATAATTGAATCTTAAATAACATAAGCTTAAATAAATCCCATAAATATACTGAGCACCCATTTATGCATCAAGCAATTATTACAGAAATTAAGTCTGGAAAGGCAGACTGGAGCGAATTCTCACCCCAATGAAATCTTTATCATGTCATCATATTTCTCCAACATTAAGGACATGAATATCCTCCCAGGTGCTCAGACATAAAGCATTCTTGTCTCACCCCTTTCCACCAGCCTCCATATTTAGCTCTTATGTCTGTTAGCCTTGCTTCTCTAATTCCTACAACCATGTGGCACATGCTCGTCACTCCTAAATCTGAACTACTGCAACAGCCTTCTACTTACTGTTCCTATTTTCAGTTTGTTCCCAGCTACCTACCATTTTACTCCCAGACTGATTTTCTTCAAGAAAAACTTTGGGCATACCACTTTCTTGCTCAAAAGTTTCAGTTAACTTCCCCTCTGCCTACCAACTGAAGTGTAAACTACTTGATTCCACATTTAAGGCCTGGTCACAACACAATCCTCAATCTATTTTTCCAGCACTTTTAACAGTTAACTCCCCAACACACCCTTTACAATCCAGTCTAAATGGACCCCTCGCTCCATACTTCCCAGCTACTTTGCCTTTTTCACACCAGCCCTTCTACTTGTCTGAGTCTATGGAATTATGTTTACCTTATTTGTAAAAAGGTCTTTGGATTTCTACTGATTACTAAAGTAACACACGGTTATATAAAATCCAAACATTACAGAAATTTATGGATAGTTTCTCATTATACCATCCTTGAAAATTAACCACTGGTAATACTTCACACATGTCTAGATTTCTTCAGTGCTATATATTATGTTCATGTGTGTATATATATATATTTTTGATTAATAGAAATAAGATCATACTCTTTTTAAAAAAGCCTTTTCACTGAAAAATGTATCACGTTGTATTTTATTTTTAATCGATATATTCTGGATATACTTTCATAATATAGGGCTTTCCCTAGCTTCTTTTTTTTTTTTGAGACGGAGTCTTGCCCTGTCACCCAGGCTGCAGAGCAGTGGCATGATCTCGGCTCACTGCAGCCTCTGCCTCCTGGGTTCAAGCGATTCTCCTGCCTCAGACTCCCAAGTAGCTGGGACTATAGGCGCCCACCACCACACCCAGCTAATTTTTGTATTTTTAGTAGAGGCGGGGTTTTACCATATTGGCCAGGCTGGTCTTGAACTCCTGACCTTGTGATCCGCCCGCCTCAGCCTCCCAAAGTGCTGGGACTACAGGCGTTAGCCACCGTGCCCAGCCTCCCTAGCTTTTTAGTAACTGCAAAGTATTTCTTTGTATGGACTGACAAGAATTTTATTTACCCATTATACATTTGAGTTGTTTACAGTTTGCCACTTCAAAGAATCCTGCAATGAATTTCCTTTTATATTTATGATTTGTACAGAATAAATTCTTAGCAATTCTAAAAGGCATGTACATTTAAAATTTTGACATGATTCTAAATTGCTCTATGAAAAGAATGTGCCAATTTACTCTCCCACTTAAACTGAGATTGTATTTCCTCACACTTTCACTATCAATGGGTATTACACCTTTAATCTTTGCTGATCAAATAATATAAAAATCATGTTTTAACTTATATATCTGTAATTATAGATGAAATTCAATTATTTCCTATATGCATTGACTTTCTGCCTGCATTTGTGATTGCCTGTTCATGTCCTAAGCTATTTTTCTACTGGGTGGTGGCCCTTTTCTTATTCATTTATAAGAGCTCTTTTAAAATTAGAAATTTTAAAAGTATCATATGTGCAAATGGATTTGTAAGATCTTTTGCCTTTCATGGAACTGAGGCTCCTCTTTTTGAAAAACTATAAAATCAAAAATACCTTTTCACTGTATGGAAATGAACTTTTGATTAATGAGAAACTACAAAGTAAGCATTTGGGTCTTTATTATTCAGGTAACTATTTCTGCTTCAGAGTATTTACAATACCTTAGCTGGATTAGTTAAGCCATGATGGAGATCTGAATTCAGATCACATTTTATAATACTTTTTATAATACTCTTTCTCATGGGTAAATCCTCCCTAACAACCTGAGAAAATTCATTAACAAATCTCAGATGTACTACAGAGCCTGTACTTAAGTTAGTTTTAGAATTTACAAAACAGTTGTTTTTAGGAACTCATTAAGATATGATTAACAAAGGAAGTGATATTTCATAAATAATACCTGTCACATATTCAAGATGAAAGCTCATTTCATTTAACTTCTTTCTTCTCCTATTTTGCTCTTGTTCCTCCTTTGTTCCTCAACCACATTAAAAAAATTTTTTTCAGGTCTTCAAGAAAGCAGCTTGGCCAGCTTATCACATTGCTATGCCTATATGAAGGCTGTTAATAAAAAGTGCTTGTGAGGGTTTCTAAACCTAAATATCTTTGGTACTTCTGTTAAAGTGAACTAAATATGGCCTGAGAAGGACTCCATACTTCTATATTTGAGTCCTTATGGACAAACTGCAATCTAGCTTAATAGGTAGACAAGAGTGAAAACCCAATTTAGCAGTATATGCCTGAACAACAGCTGAGTCTTGGCCAATCCCAGTGGCGGTACTTCAACCATTCATACACTGCTGAGTCTTCAAACTGTGTTCAAATAAGGCAAATGCCGAGCCATAACCAATCCAGCTGTTCTGTATCTCACTTCCGATTTCTGTACCTCATTTCCCTTTTGTTGGCTATAAATCTTCCACCACGTGGCTGCGCTGGAGTCTCTGAATCTGCTGTGATTCTGGGGGCTGTGTGATACTCCAACAGTTCAGTGCTCAATTAAACTCCTTTAAATTTAATTCAGCTGAACATTTTCTTTTCAGAAAAAAAAACATTTTAATCTACCAGAAGTTAATTTTTGAAATACAACCAAACTAAACAATCTTTTCCTTATGTCCTCTCTTTTTGGCTCGTGTTTGGCCATACAATAAAATTCACCCATTTTTGCTGTACAGAGCAGTTTGGACAAATGCATGGTTGTGGAATCTACCACTGCAATGAAAATACAGATTTCCATCACCCCAAAAATTTCTCTGTGCCCCTTTGCATTCAACACCTTCCCCTACCCCTAAGTCCCTAGCAACCAAATGTTTTCTGTCCCTACAGATTTGCCTTTTCCAAAATGTCACATAAATAGAATCATACAGTATATAGCCTTTTGTATCTGTCTTCTTTCACAGAGCACACTGAATTCAGATTCATCTACGTTGTTACATGTATGACAGCTTTTATTGCTGGATTGTATTTCATTGTATGGATATGCCACAGTTTATCCAATCAGCAGTGGAAGGATTTTTAGGCTGTCTGCAGTTCTTGCAATTATGAATAAAGCCACATAAACTTTTGCATACACATTTCTGTGTGAACATTAAGTATTCATTTATCTTGTATAAATACCAAGGAATAGTATTTCTGGGTCAGATGATAAGTACATGTTTACCTTTTAAAAACTATTGAGTTTTCCAAAGTAACCACATCATTCTGGATTCACACCAGAAAAGTATGCAGGTTCCACTTGTTTCAAATCATCAACAACTTTTTTCATTACAATTTTTGTTTTGTTTCGTGGGGTCTTTTTGTTGCTGTCATTCAGGGTTTAGTGGAATGTCACTGTGGTTTTAATTTACATTTCTCTAATAACTAAAGATGCAGAGCATCTTTTCATATGCTTATTTGCCATCCATATATTTTCTTTGGTGAAATGTTTTAGCCATTTCTTCATTGGGTGGACTATATATTTATTGAGTTAGACTTCTTTATATATTACTAGTTTGGATACAGGACCTTTAATCAGGGTAGTAGTTTGCAGAAATTTTCTCAGTCTATGGCTTATCTTCTCATCTTCTTAACAGTGTCTTCTGAAGACAAAAATTGTAACTTTGAGAATGCAGATTTATCAATTTTTTCTGTTTCATGATTTGCTTGTGGTTTTTTGTGTCATGTATTTAAAAATCTTGCCCAATCCAAGAACACACACATTTTTCTCCTACATATTGTTTCACAAGTTTTATAATTTAGGTTTCAAATTTAGTCCATAATCCATTTTGAATTTTTTTTTGGATAAGATAAGGGATATTGGTCTTTAGTTCTTGCAACGTCAATAAGCTGCAAAGTATTCCCTCTTGTATTTTCTGAAAGAATCTGGATCTAGATCACTCCTTTCTTAAATGTTTGCTAACATTTCCAGAGAAGCCTGGGAATTTAATTTCTTAGCAGTGTGAGAGGAAAATAAATCTTAGGACCCCAAAATCACTAAGCTAAAGGGAAAAGTCAAGCTAGGAACTGCTTAGAGCAAACCAGCCTACCATTCTATTCAAAGTCATCCCTCTGAGGCTCACGAAGACAAATGCATATCTGATTGGTTTCTCTCCCCTATTGCTCATGTGAAAATGCAGATTCATTGAGCCAGAGTAAATTGAGTATTATTCGTATTAGGTGGAAGGCCATCAAAGACTCAAAAAATGCAATCCAACTTTTTGTCTTACCTACTTCTAACCTGGAAGCCCCCACTTGTTGCCTTACCAGACCAAACCAATGTACAATTTACATATATTGATTGATGTGTCATGTCTCCCTAAAATGTATAAAAGCTGTAACCCGACCACATTGGGCGCATGCATCAGGACTTCCTGAGGTTGTATCACAGGCACATCCTTAACCGGGGCAAAATAAACTTTCTAAATCGACTGAGACCTGTCTCAGATATTTTGGGGTCTCAGTAGACATGACTATTCAGATTTCTTCCGTCAGCGTCAGTTTTAGAAACTTGTGTCTCTTTTTTTTTTTTTTTTTGAGACAGAGTTTTGCTGTTGTTGCCCAGGTTGGAGTGTAAAGGCACATCTGGGCTCACCGCAACCTCCACCTCCCGGGTTCAAGCGATTCTTCTGCCTCAGTCTCCCAAGTAGCTAGGATTACAGGCATGCGCCACCAAGCCTGGCTAATTTTGTATTTTTAGTAAAGACGGGGTTTCTCCATGTTGGCCAGGCTGGTCTCGAACTCCCGACTTCAGGTGATCCACCTGCCTCAGCCTCCCAAAGTGCTGTGATTACAAGCATGAGCCACAGCGCCTGGCCTGGAAACCTGTGTCTCTTTATAAATTTATCCATTTTATTTAAGCTATCTAACTTACTGGCATAAAATTATTTATAATTTTGCCTTGGTCACCTTTTAATCTTTGTAAGGTCTACAGTGGTAATCCTTACCTCCCTAAATTTTTGTTCCTATTTTTCAGCAAATTCTCTTTAGAATATTTTTAGGCATAAAATCATTCACAAATCATGATAATTTTCTAGGCTCTCTTTCTGATGTCGTATCTCCCTTCACTCTCCTGTCTGATTACACTGACTAGCTCTTTAGGAGCAACGTTAAATAAAACTGTGATACTTCTTGCATATTACCATTGAACATGAGGCAACTTATAATCTAATACATGCGTGCACACACACACTTTTAAGATTAAAGAAATAATCTTCTATTTTATCTAGGGCAGGGGCAGGAGTTAACAAACCCCAGAACCAAATGTGACCCACCACCTGCTTTTATACAGTTTTACTGGACTACAACCACATTCAGGTGTTTTGGTATTATCTATAGATACTTTCACATTACAATGGCAGAGCTGAGTAGTTGTGACAGAAACATGGCCCACAAAACCTAAAATATTTACTACCTGGCCCTTTACAGAAACAGTTTGCTAACTCCTTGATCTAGAAGATTTTTTTTTTTTAATCAAGAATGGATGCTGGTCCCAGCACTTTGGGAGGCCGAGACCGGCGGATCACGAGGTCAGGAGATTGAGACCATCCTGGCTAACACGGTGAAACCCCATCTCTACTAAAAAAAAAATACAAAAACTAGCCGGGCGTGGTGGCGGGCGCCTGTAGTCCCAGCTATTCGGGAGGCTGAGGCAGGAGAATGGTGTAAACCTGGGAGGCGGAGCTTGCAGTGAGCTGAGATCCAGCCACTGCACTCCAGCCTGGGTGACAGAATGAGACTCCGTCTCAAAAAAAAAAAAAAAAAAAAAACAAGAATGGATGCTGGATATTATCAAATGTCTTCTTTGGTAACTATTAAAATAAATTCACATTTTCCCCTTTAACCTATTGATGGGGTAAATCATATTAATAGATTCTGAATGCATCCTGAAATAAGTGTACTCAGTTAGGTGTTTTTGTGTCTAGGATTATTTTTGATACATATGACTTAGGATGTTTTCAGTAATACTCATGAGTTTAGTCTAACAATTTTCTTCACAATATCCTTCAGCATTGTGAAAGGAAGTAGAAAAATTTCCTTTTGAACTATTTCTCGATCATACTTAACAAATATGGTATCTCCTCTGAATTCTCAGTGCACTTCAAGCTACTGTTATAGTACTTAATCATATCTGGGACATATTAAAGGTATTTAACTTCAATTCTCTTTCCACTGCTTCAATAAAGGGGGAAAAAATGCTAAAAGGCTGTTAACTTATCTTCATATATTCCTGCAGTAGTTAGGAGTGAATTTCGTATTAGTATTAAATATTTACTAATGTTTCTAATGCTCTTTTTCTCACCCCAAGTAAACTTGTTAATCAAATTCCAAATTTATGTAGGGCACATATATATTATTCATACAATTTTTTAAAAAAACAAACTATTGCTGAGTGCAGGGGCTCACGCCTATAATCCCAGCACTTTGGGAGGTCAAGGCTAGTGAATCACGAGATCAGGAGTTCAAGACCAGCCTGGCCAACATAGTGAAACCCCGTCTCTACTAAAAATACAAAAAAAAAAAATTACCCAGGTGTGGAGGTGGGTGCCTGTAGTCTCAGCTACTTGGGAGGCTGAGACAGCAAAATCACTTGAACCCGGGAGGCAGAGGTTGCAATGAGCTGAGATCGTGCCATTGCACTCCAGCGTGGGCAACAAGAGCAAAACTGCATCTCAAAAAAAAAAAAAAAAAAAGGGAACTGGATAATTCTAGACTGATTTCATAACTATCTAGCTATTAATTGATATATCACTTTAGACAAGTTATTTAATCTCTATAGGCCTAAATTTCTTTCTTTTTGTTTTTTGTTTTGTTTTGAGACAGTCTTGCTCTGTCACCTACGCTGGACTAAAGTGCATGATCTCAGCTCACTGCAACCTCCACCTTCCAGGTTCAAGCAATTCTCGTGCCTCAGCCTCCCAAGTAGCTGGGATTACAGGCGTGCACTACCATGCCCAGCTTTTATATTTTTAGTAGAGACGGGGGTTTCACCATGTTGGCTAGGCTGGACTCGAACTCCTGACCTCAAGTGATCCACCCACTTAGGCCTCCCAAAGTGCTGGGATTACAGGCATGAGCCACAGCACCTGGCCAGGTCAAAATTTCATCACCTATAAAATGATACATTTGATATGATTCCTAGGGTCCCTTTCCAGCAATAAGTTTCCAAGAATCTAACAATTTATTTTTAATATTAAATCTCACAAAAATGTTCTCAAACAAGTATCTAATCCTTCTTAACAACGAAATAAAGATGAGGCAAAGTTGTAAATAAAACCCATTCTCCTTTGTTGAGTCTTAGTAAGACTTTAAAAAATTACCTTTGTTTCTGAAAGACATCTTTCTTCCTGCTGGTTTCAATCTTTCTTTCTTCTCTTTTTTCCTAGTTGCTTTGACTTGCCCTTGACCAGATGCAGAATCACAGTCAGAAGAGTCAAGTTTGACTTGACGATGCCTTCTTGATTTGGATGCCTTAAGAGTTACAATCCAATTAACCAATAAATTATAAAATGAATACAAATGATAGGTAATTCAGAGGAAGACAAAATGTACGATCAAAGATGAGGAAAGATTTACAGAACTATCTGTCATAAAGTACTTTACTATTACCCCTGGCTGGTTTACTATAATGTAACTACCTATGTCATGTAAATAGTCTATTCTTTTTATAACATGAAGTTTCCTGCAGCTGTCACCACTATCTGCTCACATGGGCTTAAAATGAAGTTGTTCTATTATCTGGCATGGTTGGGCAACAAAGGTGTAGAGGCATCTTCTAATAAACTTACTTCCTGTAGGCACTACCATGTGTTCCAAGTAGAAGTACTTCATGCTTGGCTCCAGGTTTGGCCATGTGGCCCAGATCTGGCCACAGTGAGTTTAACATCCCCATGGCCAGGGTAATTTGTTGGGAGTGGGGAGGCAAGTAGGCGGGGTATGTGGTATGTATCACGGCTAATGAAATGTTATTTTGGAATTGTTTAACTATTAGGAAGGAAAGATTCTTTCTTGCCTTGGAAGCTAAAACTGGGAACATGCAAGGCTGAAGCTGTCAGGAAAATAGCACTTGACGGCAGTGAAAATGGAGGACCAGTCTTAATGATATCTTTGTCTGAGACACAGGTATCTTTAGCCAATCCTGGCTATGGATTTGTTTTGTTATATCAGTAGGCGAATTCCCTTACTTGCTTAAGCAAAGAATTTTCGGTTAATGTTGTATATGCAATACAGGTATTAACAATTCTTTTTTCTTTTTTTTATTTTTATTTTTTATTTTTGAGATGGAGTCTTGCTTTGTAGCCCAGGATGGAGTGCAGTGGCACGATCTCAGCTCACTGCAACCTCCACCTCCTGCGTTCATGCCATTCTGCCACCTCAGTCTCCCGAGTAGCTGGGACTACAGGCACCCACCACCATGCCTGGCTAATTTTTTGTATTTTCAGTAGAGACACGGTTTCACCGTGTTGGCCAGGATGGTCTCAATCTCCTGACCTCGTGATCAGCCCACCTTGGCCTCCCAAAGTGCTGGGATTACAGGCCTAAGCCACCGCGTCCGACCAACAACTCTTAAAAAGCAACCACGTATAGTTGTCTCTCAGTATCCATGGAGGATTAGTTCCAGGACTTCCTTCGGATACCAAAATCCAGAGATGCTCAAATTCCTGATGTAAAATTGTGTAGTATTTGCATATAACCTATGCACTTCCCTCCCATATACTTTCAATCATCTCTAGATTACTTATAATACCTAATATTATGAAAGTGATTGTCATATTATTCAGGGAATATAACAGCAAGGAAAAAAGTGTGTCCATATTTGGTACAGATGCATTTTTTTGTTCAAATATTTTCAATCCACAATTGATTGAATCCATAGACGCAGAAACCAAAGATACACTACGGTAACCAAAACAGCATTGTACTGGTACAAAAACAGACACACAGACAAATGAACAGGACAGAGAACTCAGAAATAAAGCCACACACCTACAACCACCTGATGTTTGACAAAGTTGATAACAAAAATTGACAAGTAATTAAACTACAGAGCTTCTGTAAAACAAAAGAAACAACAGAGTAAACAGATAACCTACGGAATGGGAGAAAATAGTCACAAACTTGGCATTCAATGAAGGTCTAATATTCAGAATCTATAAGAAAATTAATTCAACAAACAAAAAAACCACCTCATTAAAAAATGGGCAAAGGGTTGGGCACAGTGGCTCACATCTGTAATCCTAGCACTTTGGAAGGCTGAGGTGGGACTGAAAAAACAGGCAGGTGCATTGAAAATCTATAGAGAATAGTGTCTCATTCCTCAACCTCAGAGCTAGGCAACTGACCTTCTCCTATACAAAACAGAAGGCCTGCTGCTCTCTGAAGAGGCTAAACGAGAAAGGCTGTGGGCTCAAAGGAAACTGGTGTAGGTGAGGAAGGAGATGAGGACTCTTACTGAAAACAGAGGGGCTGAGTGAAACCTGCATAAGGAATGGTGAGCTTCATGTCTGATTCTCTCTGTAGGTTCCCAAAACACTGGCAGCTGGGCTTATTGCCCACCTTCCTCCCCTAGACAAGGAAGTGAAAGATTGTTCTTTAAATAACTAGATCCAAGACAAAGAAATCTAGAGGTTAGATAAGCTCTTGATCTCCTCTTGACCACCCTTAAATATGAAAAGACATCTGAGGATCTTCAATCATATTTTTTTTTTGAAATGGAGTCTCGCTCTGTCGCCCAGGCTGGAGTGCAGTGGCGTGATCTCGGCTCACTGCAAGCTCCGCCTCCCAGGTTCATGCCATTCTCCTGTCTCAGCCTCCTCGAGTAGCTGGGACTACAGGCGCCTGCCACCACTACCGCGCCCGGCCTTCTTCAATCATTTAGCCAACAAAATGGGCCAGGTGCAGTGGCTCACGCCTGTAATCCCAGCACTTTGGGAGGCCGAGGCAGGTGGATCACCTGAGGTCGGGAGTTAGAGACCAGCCTGGCCAACATAGAGAAACCCCGTCTCTACTAAAAATACAAAATTAGCTGGGTATGGTGACACATGCCTGTGATCCCAGCTACTCAAGAGGCTGAGGCAGGAGACTCACTTGAACCTGGGAGGCAGAGGTTGCGGGGAGCCAAAATCGCACCATTGCACTCCAGCCTGGGCAATAAGAGCAAAACTCCATCTCAAAAAAAAAAAAAAAAAGTCAACAAGTGAAAGAGTTCAAACAAATAGAAAAAAAAGAACTCACAGGAAATGGGAGGAACCATCAAAAAAACTGTAGTTAATATCCTTAAAAAGAAAAAGTTATTGCATCCTGTGAAAAAGAAAAATACATTTTAAAAAAACAAAACAAGAAGCATTCAGAAAACAAAAAAAATTATTGGTAATGAAAAAATATCAGGGGAAATTTTTTTAAATCAATATAATGGTTCAGAAGATAAAGCCTAAGAAATCTCCCTGAAAATAGAAAATGAGACAGAAACTGAAAATAGAAGAGAAAAATAAGAAAAGTTGAAGAAGAGAAAAGATGCAGCAAAGAACATTTGTATCGAAGAAACAATACAGAAACTTCTTCAGAACTGAAGGATATCAGATCAAAAGGAGGTCACCATGAGTGCCATGGGCAATAAACAAAAAAGATGTACACCAAGTTACATTATATGTACTAAATGAAATTTCAGAACTCCAGGGACAAAGCAAAACCCTAAAACCTTCCAAAATCAGGAATACTAGAAGCTGGAAGACAATAAAGGAAATGGCATCAAAATTCCAGGTAAATATTAGAAGAAACTGCTAAAAGAAAAGAAGTCGAAGATGTTGCCTCTCAAGGTTAGGAATACAAGGGTAGGAAGTGGCAGAGAAGGGGTCTGTTGTGCTATATAACCTCTCTAGCATTATTTGACTTTTAAAACTAAGTACATGTATCACTACTTTGATGAAAAATTGAAATATAATTTAAAAAGCAGTCAATTTCCAAATTACCTTATTAAAGAATAACTCACCTGAATGACAACTGAAAAGGCCTTTGATTTTATTTTCGCTAATGATTCTGCCCTTTCACATCTCTGGATGTAAAATAAGAAGGAAAAAAAAGTTAAAACACACAAACAATAGGTGAAAAAACTGAATACCCAAGTATTTATTATCAGAAATAAGATTTTAGACAGAAGGTAGGGTAAAAGAAACTAACATATATTGGGTACACACACATAAACATACATCATATTCTCTCACAGATGTAGCAGGTGCCATAATACTATCCCCGTAGTTACAGATCATTTTCATTCAGGATTCAAGGAGGACAATATGAATGAAAGCCTGGGTAATCAGGCAGAGCCTTGAACTGCCATTCCCTCCTCATCTGCCTATACTCAAAGATGGCTCCTTGTCTCATCCACTAAGATGGATGAAAACTCTGGAGGCAGGAAGCAGTATACTGTGTAATGGCTTGGGCTCCACACTGGTTGAAAGGCTGACAAGTCAGAAAAGATATATTACAAAAGCCTGATCCTGATCCTCTATTAACTGAGGGCACCTTCCATAGTCGAGCTTTCCTTTCCCTGTGGAAAACTATTATCATCCTCTCTCCCAACCTATACCTGATGTGGCCTCCACAAGGCTTCCAGTAAATAACAAACTACCTTTTCACAAAACCATGATTCAGAATTTTCTCTTATATTTCTTATAATACTGACCATGGGTCACAGTGCTTAGTATACAGAATCACAGCCACACATAATATGAATTGCAAAGTTTTCTGACCTCTGTTTCTTGTGAATTTCCTTCCATTTTTTCTTCTCCATCATTAATTTTTGATTTTAAGGATGGATTCTAAAAGAGCAAAAAAGATACATACACACACACACAAATTTACAATTCAATTAACTGCAAATCAATTTTAGAACAGTGAGAAATCATTACTTTTAATAAATGAAAAACTAAAAGATCATTCACATTATATACCACCTAACATTAAGATCACAGGTTTCAAAATGTTCTACAATTCATCAATAAAATGCTTAAATCCTCCTAATTAATGTGGTAGTCTCTATGTGGTAGTAAGAAAACGGGCTTATTCTCCTTTCCTTCAGGTTTTCAGAGCTCGTAGTAATGCTCTTTGAAGAGAGTTTATCTATTAAAAGAGAATACTGGCTATGCATAGTGGCTAATCCTGTAATCCTAATACTCTGGGAGGCTGAGGTGGGAGGATCGCTTAAGGCCAGAAGTTCCAAACCACCCTGGGCAACATAGCAAGACCCCATCTCTACAAAAAAATTTAAAATTTTGCTGGTTCTATCCCTGGCAACATAGCAAGACGCTGTCTCTACAAAAAATAAAAAAAAATAGCTGGGCATGGTGGCATATGTCTGCAAACCCAGCTACTCAGAAGGCTGAGGTGGGTGGATCACTTAAGCCTGGGAGGTCGAGGCTGTAGTGAGCTGTAGTTTTGCCACTGCATTCCAGCCAGGGTGACAGAGCAAGAAGACCCTGTCTATATATGTACATATAAAGAATACTAACAATTTTTTTTTACATTAAATGCCTAAGTCATTTGTGTAACCTATTTGTAGGACTTAAAGTATCCAAACATTCTAAAACTTGCTATCTCTCATTAAAATAAATGCAGAGGAATAAAGTTATTTTTTTCTTCCCAAGACTATCATCTTCTTATCAGTTTCCTTGTTTATCTTTTCTAAAATTAAGCTGTGAGCCAGCTTCCTTTATATAACAGAAAGTGAAAAAGTAGCAAGAAATCTTTCTGAAAGATGATATATAGATAACAGTATCTGTGTGACATTTGTGAAAACACCAGCACATTATCAAGACACACAGTAATCAGAAATTGCTTACTTTTTAAAAATTGTTTTCCTAGATTTACTAAAATAAGATGGAGTAATAGTTTCAAAAGTAAATTTCACAAGGCTAGCCTTTAGGTTTCCAGGGTTAAAAAGTTCCTCTAGCTGAAAAGGCTAATGTGAAACCATCAATACTTTTGGTTAAATAAACTAAGTTGAAGATCTGTGATGAGACCTGCAAAAAGATAAACCACACCAGGTAGACAACATGTAAACAGAGAAACACCTGCCCTATCACAGTAGGAAAAGCCACCACTCAGGTCCCACTGTCTGCTGTCATGCAGCAAAGTGGAATCAGTGTTACCAGTCTAGAATTTTAGGTGAGGTCCACAAGTACTTAAAAGTTGGTAATTAACTCAAAAATTTTAAACAATGTTAGAATCAACACTATGCCAAACAAAACACATCTGTGTGCAGGATTTAGCCCAAAGACCGAGTGTGCAACCCCTAGAAAAATGCCAAATTATAAAGACTGTAATAAATCTGTGGTATAACAAGATTATTTACTCTTCTACCAAAAAAAGGAAAATACATATATATTCCATCTGTAAGGTTAAATAACATCACATACCTAGTAAGTGGCAAAAGTGGAACTAGAAAAGCCAAGCCCTCTAAATCTTAGCTCCACAGGATTACAGCCTCTAACACTAGGCTGCCTCTCAACATTATCATCCATGGATAATCATTCGTGCATAATACAATGGTGAGGCACCAAACAAGTGATTGCATACCTTTCTGTCTTTGTGCCACTGCTGATGCTCCAAAACTATGTTCTTAATATTGTCAAAAAAATCATCCTTTATCAAACTGAGGGCTTTATCTGGCTTGGACTTATCAACTGAAATTACACGTTTCATGTTCTGATAATGATCATGAACATTCAGCATTTCCTAAAAGCAAAAAGATGAGTCCTTTATTTCACTTTTTGAGGAGAAACTAAAAGGCAAAACCAACACAAAATAGTCACCTTCCAAAGTGACTTCCAGTTGATAGGGAATAACATGCTACAGTATGTTGAAAATAACATAATCATGTAAACAAAATAGTGCAACTTCATTAACATAGAGGTATGGATTCCAGAGGTATGGATTTATTAACTTACCTCAACAAACATTAACTAAAATACACTTATAGGAAGACACTGGGGAAAGACGAATGAGTTAACATACAATTCCATTCTAGAATATCACAATTATTTGTAGCATGATGTATCATTAAATATTGCTACTGATAACTAAGATATTTTTATATCATATTATCACATCAAGAATATTTATGGCCAGGTGCGGGGGCTCACGCCTGTAGTCCCAGAACTTTGGGAGGCCGAGGGAGGTGGATTACGAGGTCAGGAGATTGAGACCATCAGGACTAACACAGTCAAACCCCATCTTTACTAAAAATAGAAAAAATTGGCCGAGTGTGGTGGTGGGCGCCTGTAGTCCCAGTGACTTGGGATGCTGAGGCAGGAGAATGGGGTGAACCCAGGAGGCGGAGCTTGCAGTGAACCGAGATCTTGCCACCGCACTCCAGCCTGGGTGACAGAGCAAGACTCCATCTCAAAAAAAAGAAAAGAATATTTACATAGTCCTTTATGCTCTGCTGGAAATTCCTATGTAACGACTCTCATCCCAACCTGCCACAGAAATCCCAAAACCTATGTGCCTGTTCCCATAAGTTTCACCATTACTTCAGCGATAAGATTCAGGATTAAAAGAAATAGAGGGTAGGCCAGGTGCGGTGGCTCACGCCTATAATCCCAGCACTTTGGGAGGCCAAGGCAGGAGGATCACGAGGTCAGGAGTTCAAGACCAGACTGGCCAACATGGTGAAATCCCATCTCTACTAAAAACACAAAAATTAGCCGAGTGTGGGGGTGGGCACCTGTAATCCCAGCTACCTGGGAGGCTGAGGCAGGAGAACTGCTTGAACCCGGGAGACGGAGGTTGCAGTGAGCCAAGATCGCACTGCCACTGCACTCCAGTGGGGGCAAGAGAGCAAGACTCCATCTCAAAACAAAAAACAAAGAAATAGAGGGTGATTTATGACACCATTTGTGACATTATTTATTAGATCTTCTTCCTCCACAAATCTCCAGCCAAATGGGCAGATCTGCAGGGTAAGGAAAAAGACAGCATACTACAGGTAGACTTAAGAAAACCTGGCATAGGGACTTGGTTCTAAGATCAGGAGAGAACTACTTACATTTCCATCACAGATGGACATTGCAACATCTGAGTCATCCCTAACTCAGACTACTCAATTCATTTCCAGATTTTGGTAGAATCAACACCTGTTCAAGAAATAAGACACTAGGCCAGGCACAGTGGCTCATGCCTGTAATCCCAGCACTTTAGGAGGCTGAGGAGGGCGGATCACCTGAGGTAAGGAGTTCGAGACCAGCCAGACCAACAAGGAGAAACCCCATCTCTACTAAAAAACAAAGTTAGCCGGGTGTGGTGGCACATGCCTGTAATCCCAGCTACTCAGGAGGCTGAGGCAGGAGAATCGCTTGAACCCGGGAGGCAGAGGTTGCGGTGAGCCAAGATCGTGCTATTGCACTCCGGCCTGGGCAACAAAAGTGAAACTCTGTCTCTTAAAAAAAAAAAAAAAAGAAATGAGAAACTGATCAATAGTGGTAAGTGCTCACATACACGGGATCTGCAATGGGAGAACAGTGTCCAGACATGGAGAGCCCCTAACTCTTTATAGTTTACATTGGCTGTGCTCTCATGATTTTTATTTCATGTGATATAGAAAGACCACCAGCCAGATCTAGTTTTTGAGTCTGAGCTCTGTCATTTTCTCAATATATGACAATAGGGAAGTCCCTCAACGTAAGAATCACATTCACGTTTCACATTTGTACAAAATGAACAAACCCACCATTGTTAATTATTAAACAAGCTTATTATACAGGTGAAAGTATTCTGTATAATGTAAAGCACTATACAAAATTAAAGAAGCCAGGCCCGGTAGTGTGCACCCGTAGTCCCAGCTACTCAGAAGGCTGAGGCATGAGGACGGCCTGAGCCTAGGAATTCAAGGCCAACTCAGGCAACATAGCAAGACCCCCACTCTTTAAAAAAACAAAAAAGAAGAAGAAAATTAAATAAGAAATAAAAGACAGTGCATGGACTATGGAGCCTTACAGACTTGGACATTCAAACCCAGTGTCTGTACCTTATTGTGCCTCACCTGATACAAACTACTTAACTTCTCTAAACCTCAGTTTCCTTATTTTTAAAACTGGGGGCTAGGTGCAGAGGCTCATGCCTGTAATCCCAGCACTTTGGGAGGCTGAGGTAGGCAGATCACCTGAGACCAGGAGTTCGAGACCAGCCTGGCCAACATGGTGAAACCCCATCTCTACTAAAAATACAAAAAATTAGCTGGGCATGGTGGCGGGTGCCTGTAGTCCAAGCTACTCGGGAGGCTGAGGCAGGAGAATCATTTGAACCTGGAAGGTGGGGAGGTGGAGGTTGCAGTGAGCCAAGATCATGCCACTGCACTCCAACCTGGGCAATAAGAGGGAAACTCTGCTTTTAAAAAAAAAAAAAAAAAAAAAGGCCAGGTGCAGTGGCTCATACCTGTAATACCAGCACTTCAGGAGGCCAAGGCAGCCAGATCACCAGGCCAGGAGATCAAGACCATCCTGGCTAACACAGTGAAACTCCGTCTCTACTAAAAATATATATATAAAAAATTAGCTGGGCATGGTGGTAGGCACCTGTAGTCCCAGCTACTCAGGAGGCTAAGACAGGAGAATGGCTTGAACCGGGAGGCAGAGCTTGCAGTGAGCCAAGATCGCATTCCAGCCAGGGCGACAGAGCGAGACTCTATATCAAAAAAAAAAAAAAAAAAACTGGGGAAATACCACCTCCTCTGCAGGGTTACTATGACAGTTAGTGAAATAACACACATAGAACATCTAGCATAGTTCCAGGCATTTGGTGAGTACTCAGCACACAATGTCCATTATTATAACTGTATAAATGAAGAACAGAAATGAAATAATTTGCTCAAGGTCCTACTTACATAGCAGAGGGCTAGAAGTCAAATGTTTTGATTCAGTATCCTGTTCTCTTTTCATTTTATTATGCCTCCTTAACCACAAAACTAGAACAAGTGGCAGAATCATGACCAGAATTTGGATCTTCTGAAATGAAGACTGAACAACAGTTGCAGGCAGTAAAAGGAAAATTTAAGAGTATTAAATTTAAGCATTATCAGTGGGAATGGATCACAGGCTATGCTAGGACAAAAGATACAGAGCCAGCAGAAGTATCAAGGGACAAGGCTCTCAAAGCAATTATGTCACAAGCCAGAGATCCAACAGAGCCAGGATAACTTCACAGACTATTCCATTCCTAAAAGCTTCCAGGTATAGGTATTTCATAGCTGACCCTTCTCACACTCTTCTCTATTCACTCTAAAAGAGTAGACCTTTGTGCATCACCCCCAACTTAAGAGAGCTTAGAATGAAAAAGCACGTTGAAAAAGATATGTTGAAAAAATATTTACATTCTACCACCAAATTGGTCAATAGTCAGAAAAATTATAACCAGCCAAGCATGGTGGCTCATGCCTATAATCCCAACACTGTGGGGAGGCCAAGGTAGGAAGAGCAATCAAGCTCAGGAGCTCAAGACCAGCCTGGGCAACATAGCAAGACCTTGTCTCTACAAGAAAATTTTTTAAGATTAGCCAGCATGGGCCAGGTGCAGTGATTCACGTCTATAACACCAGCACTTTGGGAGGCCAAGGTGGGTGGATCAAGAGGTGAGGAGTTCAAGACCAGCCTGGCCAAGATAATGAAACCCTACCTCTACTAAAAATACAAAGATTAGCCCGGCGTGGTGGCACGCGCCTGTAATCCCAGGTATTCGGGAGGCTGACACAGGAGAATCGCTTGAACCTGGGTGGCAGTTGCAGTTAGCCAAGATCATACCACTGCACTCTAGCCTGGGCCATAGAGCAAGAGTCTGTCTCAAAAAAATTAATTAATTAATTAATTTAATTAAATTAAATTAGCCAGCATGATGGTGAGTGCCTGTAGTCCCAGCTACTCAGGAGGCTGAGGTGGGAGGATCACTTAAGCCCAGGAGATTAAGGGTGCAGTGAGCTACAATTGCACCACTGCACTCCAGCCGGGGTGATAAAGCAAGATCCTGTCTCAAAAATTTTAAAAAAGAAATTATAACCAACTGGGTTCAAATCATCTTTTTCATTAGAATATTGATAAGAATGTCTTGCTGTTGGAAAATGTCCTGTGCCTCCCTCTTCATGATTCACATCAGCATTTCTCAGCTTTCTGGTATCCTGAAATCTTTCTTCCATTCTCCACAATTGCTAGTCCAAACATTTTCAACTCTCAGTTCCCTGACCCCGATGATGCTCTCTTACAGTTCAGGCAGTCAAGTCTGTTTGCCTTCTATTTCTCCTCTACACAAAGATTTATAAAAATCCATTCTCACCTTCTTTCCTCAAATTTCAAAGGAAGAAGTATGCCTTCTGCTCAAGGCTACTCTCTCCACTGGATTCTCAATCACAGACACACCCACCTCCTCCATAGCAGGAACCCTGCTGCTACCTCTCCTGTATACAACCATTCCCTCTAACTAGCTCCTTACTTCAACTCTAAACATAAACATTATTTCTCTCCAATCTCTAAAACTTTATGACTCCCCTCTGCCAAAAAGACAAAATACAAATTCCTTCTATTATACAAAGTACTTTTATCTTATTTAGTTTTGTACATAAACTCTCTCCCACCTCTTTCTCGCTAAGCTGCTACAGGGAAAAAAAAAAAATCCTAGTTCTTGTTACACTTCACTCATTTGCTTGTCGAATGACAAATTTCCAACCCCAGTCCCACCTCAGACCAGTCCTTTGCTATCCACAAACAGGCACTGCAGCCATACAGAACTGAGTTTGAAGCTCAGCTCCATTACTTCCTAACCTAGTCTCTGTAACTCAGTTTCCTCAACTTTAAAACACAGATAAAACCCCCTGCTTTTAAAAATTATTTTAAACACTTATTTTGCAGAAATGTTGAAGTAAACCAATCTACACAAAATATCTTCCCAGAGTTCCTGCATTATACTATGTCTTCAGATATTGAGGAATATTCAGTTCCTTGTAATACAGTAATTCTTAACCTTTTTGGGGGACATGAACACCTTTGAGAATCTGAGGTTACAGTACCTCACCCTAAAAATGTATCCTTATGGGCTGGGCAGGGTGGCTCATGTCTGTTATCGCAGTACTTCGGGAGGCCAAGGCGGGCAGATCGCCTGAGCTCAGGAGTTCGAGACCACCCTGGGCAACATGGTGAAACCCCATCTCTACTAAAATACAAAAAATTAGCCAAGTGTGGTGGCATGTACCCGTAGTCCCAGCTACTCAGGAGGCTGAGGCATGAGAATCGCTTGAGCCCTGGAGGCAGAGGTTGCAGGTTGCAATGAGACAAAATTGCGCCACTGCACTCCAACTTGGGCTACAGAGTGAGACTCTATCTCAGAAAGAAAGAAAAAAAAAGGATCCATATGTATGACATCAATTTTTTATACAATGTGGTGAGGGAGAGGGCACATGGATGATCCCCAGGCCAGAGATTAAGAATCCTTGCTCGAAAATAAAGTCACTTTACAGAACAGACCCAGAGTGCTCTCAAAAATCAATTTGCTACCTGAATTACAAACAACCTGACAGGCTCATGCTATTGCAACATGGGGACAACCGGGCACAGTGGCTCACACTTGTAAATTCAGCACTTTAGGAGGCCAATGCGGGCTGATCGCTTGAGCCCAGGAGTTCAAGACCAGCCTGGTCAACACAGTGAAACCTCACTTCTACTAAAAATAGAAAAAATTAGTTGGGCATGGTAGTGCATGCCTGTAACCCCAGCTACTCGAGGGGCTGAGACACGAGAATCACTTGAAACTGGGAGGCAGAGGTTACTGTGAGCCAAGATTGTGTCACTACATTCCAGCCTGGGCAACAGAGGAAGACCCTACGTAAGGGAGAAAAAAAAAAAAAAAGAACATGGGGGCATCTAAACAAACATTTGAGTAAATCGAAGATCTGATCCCTCTCTTTCAATTGTAATACAAGAAAAGACTGAGTAGGGCTGGGGAAAAGGGGAATTAACATTTATTAAGGGTATACTGTGTGTAATATACCACATTCGGCACTAGTTTGGTATCACCTCATTTCAATTCTCACAACAACCGAATGAAATAAAATATTATAATCCTAATATTAATGAGGGAGATATTTAGGCTTAAAGAAAATTTAAAAGCATGACCAAAGTGTCCCCTTACTCCCTCGTCTCCTCTCTATATGTTCTTTTGAAATATCATTGATTTAGAAGCCTGTAACCCTGTACTGAGATTTTGTTTTAACCTCAAAGCAATGCTTTTCTACTCATGCTTAAAAAGATTTGTAACACTACTTATCCATGCATAGGATTTTTCTCAATATTGTACACTCAAACAAAATACCAAAATATATTATCAAATAGATTCACTGTTTTCAATGGTGGGTTTTAAAATAAATGTTAAAACTCAGGAAGTAGGCCGGGCGCAGTGGCTCAAGCCTGTAATCCCAGCACTTTGGGAGGCCGAGACGGGCGGATCACGAGGTTCAGGAGATCGAGACCATCCTGGCTAACATGGTGAAACCCCGTCTCTACTAAAAAATACAAAAAACTAGCCGGGCGAGGTGGCGGGCGCCTGTAGTCCCAGCTACTCGGGAGGCTGAGGCAGGAGAATGGCATAAACCCAGGAAGCGGAGCTTGCAGTGAGCTGAAATCTGGCCACTGCACTCTAGCCCAGGCGACAGAGCGATATTCCATCTCAAAAAAAAAAAAAAAACTCAGGAAGTAGGCCAGGTGCTCATGCCTGTAATCCCAGCACTTTGGGAGACCAAGGTGGGCAGATCACTAGGTCAGGAGTTCGAGACCATCCTGGCTAACACAGTGAAACCCTGATTCTACCAAAAATACAAAAAATTAGCCGGGCGTGGTGGTGCACACCATTGTGCTCCAGCCTGGGTGACAGAGACTCCACTTAAAAAAAAAAAAAAAAAAAAAAACTCAGGAAATAAATGCATATTGTTTTTTTGTTTTTTAAAACGGAGTCTTGCTCTGTTGCCCAGACGGGAGTACAGCAGTGCTATCTCAGCTCACTGCAACCTCCACCTCCTGAGTTCAAGCAAGTCTCCTGCCTCAGCCTCCCCAGCAGCTGGGACTATAGGCGTGTGCCACCACACCCAGCTAATTTTCGTGTTTTTAGTAGAGACGGGATTTCACCATGTTGGCCAGGCTAGTCTCAAACTCCTGACCTCATGATCCACCCACCTCAGCCTACCAAAGTGCTGAGATTACAGGTGTGAGCCACCACGCCTGGCCATGCATATCGTTTTTTAAAAAAGTAAGTAAAGTTACTTTAAACTCTTGTTTTATGACCTAACGGTAGTTTTAGTAACGGAATCCACATATCCTCAGTCCAAGTCCAGTCTTCTACATCTTTTTTTCTCATGCTATTTTAAGATTTGTAAGTCTTGATATATTTAGGCTATTTTATTTCTGATACTCTAGAGGAACAGCATCCTAGAGTGGTGAAAATCATTAGAAAAATCAGTGTCCAGTAGATGAAGGTATAACCTTGATATGTACTTGGCAATAAAACAGTTTAAAAAAAATTTCAAGAGCATAAAAGAAAATTTACCTCTAATACATCAGAAGTGATAAGCTTCATCACACGATCACTTGGGTCCTTAAATTCTTCTGTAACTTCAGCTCGGTGAATTTTTTTCTTCATCCTATATGACAGCTATGTGATAATACATGTCTTTTAAAATAAGTATCTTTTAAACAGTATTTTTAAAACTATTGAAATATAAGCCAGCACTAAAAATAGTCTATTAAATAAACACAGATAAAACAAAAGCAGCTGTAAGGGTACATTTGTTAAACATCCACGTTCTAAAGACTATTAGACTTGTGAAGTATCCTTTCACATGTCACGCCACATGCCTACAAATTCAGGTAAGACAGAAATTACATAATTTGCCAGCTAATGGCAGAATCAGAACTAGTGCTCTTCAATCTAGTGTCTCAATTATCACAAGATTAAACAAAAACAAGTGTTATTAGAAGTTTCAACTTTTCACCAAAGAATTTTTAACAATTTTGTACGTCTTTCAGTAACCTCCTCTGATGTTTGAGACATGAGCAAATGCAGATGTCAAATCTAATTTCTTCTCAATACAATTCGCTTAATATGTGGCATCCAGATATACTGCATTCAAAAGCAAAGGCTCCATTTTTGTTTGCAGAAAAAAAAGTAGTAATTAGAAAATACCATCTCCTATTTTAAAAAAGCTACAAGGCCGGGCACGGTGGCTCATGCCTATAATCGCAGCACTCTGGGAGGCGGAGGCGGGTGATCACCTGAGGTGAGGAGTTCAAGACCAGCCTGACCAACATGGGGAAACCCCATCTCAACGAAAAATACAAAAATCAACCAGGCATGGTGGCGGGCGCCTGTAGTCCCAGCTACTCAGGAGACTGAAACAGGAGAACTGCTTGAACCCCGGAGACGGAGGTTGCAGTGAGCTGAGATCGCACCACTGCACTCCAGCCTGGACAACAGGGCAAGACTCTGTATCAAAAAGGCACACACATAAAAAAAAAAGTTACAAGCCAGGCCGGGCGCTCCCAACACTTTGGGAGGCCGAGGTGAGTGGATCACGAGGTCAAGAGATCGAGACCATCGTTGCCAACATGGTGAAACCCCGTATCTACTAAAAATACAAAAATTAGCTGGGCTTGGTGGTGCGTATCTGTAGTCCCAGCTATTCAGGAGGCTGAAGCAGGAGAATCGCTTGAATCCAGGAGGCAGAGGTTGCAGTGACCCGAAATGGTGCCACCGCACTCCAGCCTGGGCGACGGAGTGAGACCCTGTCTCAAAAAAAAAAAAAAGGCTAAAAGTCTTGAACACTATCAATACTCATTCCATTTTCTGGAGATTGAGAGGTTTTATGGACAATAAAGTATAATTGCTCATTTTGAAAAAACCAAATTATTTTAGGCAACATACCAATTTGGGCATTGCTGTAAAGTGAAATGCTCTGTCTAGTCGTAGCTTCCTAAAAATATAAGCAGCATCAAAATGCTGTGCATTTACTAAATCTTGCTGAAATTTTAAAACTTCATCCCAATCCTTCAGGGCAACTCTGATCTGTAACCAGGAAGAAAAAAAAAACGTTGTACTAAATATAAACATATTTTCACAAACATATTACAATTTTAAAATACTGGCGTTTTATTTAAATCATATTTAATCACATAATATTTATTATAAAAATATGGTACTTGTTTTACATTTCTGCAAAGGAAAAATAACTCACTAAGTATTACCTTTTGTTTTGGTTGACACAGTTGGGTGTTATATAATCCATATAGCAGATACAAAGCACCAACTCTGATCTGGAAGGTGTATGGAGGTAAAAAATACCGCCAAGCCAAAGCCAAAGCTTCTTTTGTAAACATGTTCTTTTCTAAATTTCTCATTCTGCCACTAATAAACAGAGAGAAAATATATTATGACTCATTAAGTGAATAAGTAATAAACAAAAGCCAGAAGTATATACTTGTTTAAACGGTAGTTATAATAATTTGATGAGGATTGCATACCCAATTCTTTCATGATTCAAGCACAGAGATAATTTCACACCAAGGCAAAGGCAACTACTAGGTAAACATGATGCAGTTTCCAAAAGCATCAACTTTACTTGCCAAATTGAAGAGCAAGAAGGAAGGGGTTGCAAATTATTATTGGTTAAATATTTAAAACCCGTAATGTTAAAATAATCATGGTTATGTTACAGAACTATGTGCATTTTAATATATAATCGTCAGAAATGCTTGTTCTTTGGTGCTGTAGAGAAGCAGCACTTGAACGTAAATTTTATGTCTTCAGCAAGGCCATTTTTTTACTTTCTACAAAAAGGGGACAGTCGCCAGCAGTTTTGCTACACTGAACAAAGGAGACAGGGTCATTTATAACTTGACGCGTCTACTTTGGACTTCACATTCTGTATCTGTCTTGATTGACTAGCAACTTAGAACTTGAAGTAACTTGTGGAATGCTGAGAAAGGTAAAAACACTTTTAAATAAGGAAGAGGAACAGGCTATGACTTAATGCTTGCTTGGACCAGTATAAGCACGCCAGGGCAAATATTTAGGCTAAACTGTAAGAGCTAAGAACATAAAGTACACTGATTTCTTTATTACAGCTAGCAGATATTTGAGAATGTTAGCATAGGTCTTTGAATAAATTTTGCTTCTAAGAGAAGTTACTATTTAGTCTTAATTTGATGGGGAGGAAAGTCTTTGAAGACAAACCTCTACTTTACTTTTTACATAATGAACATTTTCTCCAGAATTCTCAGGGATTTGCACTAAATCTCCTCTGTCCTTGGGAAGCCTAGGTGAAAAAGTTAGAGAAACAGCACAAAGTAACCCACACTCCTAATTGTCCAGAGCACCACAAGCTCATTAGAAGAAGGGAGGAGCAGGGGAGAAGAGCATACTCCAGCATACAACCAAAAGCTTTGTCCAAACATCCAAGAGAGCAACAAGGCTTTCTTGGCAATCAATCAAAGAAATAACACAGGAAATGTACCTGAAAGCAAAGTATCTCGGGTACCCAAGATCACTAAGGAAAACTCAGGTTGGAAACTGCTTAGGGCAAACCTGCCTCCCATTCTATTCAAAGTGACTTCTCTGCTCACTGAGATAGATGCATATCTGATTTGCCTCCTTTGGAAAAGCTAATCAGAAACTCAAAAGAACGCAAACGCAACCATTTGTGTCTCACCAATCTGTGACCTGAAAGCTCCCTCCCCACTTCCAGTCTTCCTGTCTTTGCTTCAAGTTGTCCCGCCTTTCCAGACCGAACCAATGTACTTCTTACATATATTGATTGATGTTTCACGTCTCCCTAAATGGACAAAACCAAGCTGTGCCCTGACCACCCTGGGCACATGTTGTCACAACTTCCTGAGGCTGTGTCAAGGGTGTGTCCTCAACCTTGGCAAAATAACCTTCCTAAATTAATTGAGACATGTCTCAAATTTTCGAGGTTCACATGTATTTTCTGTGGATATAAACAGCATAATGAATAAACTATCTGAAACTGTTCTGCTGTGCTAAGTTAACAAAAAATTTTTTAAAACAAGGCCTTAAAAAAGTCAATGTAACAGTCTTCTTACCACTTTGGATAAAACAATGAAGCCATATTTGTGCATACTGTATAGGTTTCTATGTAAGACTTGAAATTAGTAGATAAAAAATGCCAGATTTCAAATAAGACATAGCTAAATGTCTCAAAGTGTTGATGCAAGTGACTAATACACTGTACAAATATAAATATGTAGAACTTTCACTTTTAAAACAGCAACAATAAAGACATTCACCCTGCAGCCATAAACAGGGGCTCCATTACATCTGATTACAATGCAGGGGTGGAAGGGAAGGGGGTAGTAGAAGGACGTTTTGGCTCTTCAAATAATAAATATACGAAAAGAACACAAAATACCTAGTTATGGTAACCAAAGTAATTTCTCAAGAAAATCCACCACTCCTCTAGTGATTCCTGTTTCTTTTTTCATTTTAGGTTTTCCCTACTAGAAAATGTAACTGTTACATTTTTAGCTAAGGTTTCCTTAAATGCATTTTTCCCCCCAAGAAGTGGTACGGTGGAATATTACGGATTTTAGAAACAGGCAGATACACAGTTTCCAACATCTGCTCTACAATCCACTATCTTTGTAATGGAGAAATTACTTAACCTCTTTAAGCCTTAATTTCCTCATCTATAAAACAAGGATAATTGTACCTGCTTTTTATAATTGTCTTATGCAATAAAGCTATACATTGCATTTAGTAGCCATTTAATAAAGCTATACATTGCATTTAGTAGCCATTTAAAAAAAATTAGTCTCTCTCCTTTTATTAACCGTACAACGAACAGCTCTTCATCCTCCATTTCTTGCAATTTAAAAACCACAAAGGTAATTTGTTTACACTGACAGAGAGAAAATGAGTTTTAACATTTTGTTCAGAAAAACATAGTTTTAATCATAAGGTTTAACTCATTCCGAAAATCAGTTATTTAGCCTTTTCAATATTATATGTACTATGCTAATAAAAATAGATTCATCCAGTCACTGTCCTCACAGAGGTCAGTCTAGTCAAACGAAAATTTTAAAACGGTAGTAATAATGAACATTTGAACAGCCTGGCCAACATGGTGAAACCCCATCTCTACTAAAAATACAAAAATTAGCCAGGCATGGTGGCACGAGCTGTAGTCCCAGTTACTCGGGAGGCTGAGGCAGGAGAACGTCTTGAACCCGGGAGGTGGAGGTTGCAGTGATACAAGATCGCACCACTACACTCCAGCCTGAATGACAGAGCGAGACTATGTCTCAAGAAAAAAAAAAATAATGAACATTTATTGAGGACTTAGAATGCATTTCTGATATATCAGCTCATTTGATCTTCACAGCTTCTGAGGTTTATCATTGCCTCTATTTTACAGATATGGAAACTCAAGTAACTTGCCCCAAGTCACAGTGGACCCTGCAATCAAATGCAGCCAATTGGGATCCATAATCTATGCCCTTAACAATCCCACACTGCGTTTTCAACTATACCATTACAACAAAACGTGGCAAGCGGTGAGATAAAATAAAAACAGGGTGCCATGGGGGGCGGGGGGGGACATGAACAGCGTAGTCAGTCTGGAAGAGCGAAAAAGACTTCCCCGAGGAAGTCATTTGAGCTTAACTCTGAGTAAAGAATAAGGTGGAAAAAACAAGAGTTGCGGTGGAAAGCTCCAGGCTTAGGAAAAGCCTGTGGAGGGCCAAAAAAAAAAAAAAAAAAAAAAAAGGCAGCTGCTGGAGCAAGAAAGTGAGTGCATGGAGGGGACTCGCAGGCGAAGCTGGAGAGATGGGCAAAGGCCAGTGAGGAATGATCTCGGCAAGTCAGAGAATTCAAGCGTTATCCCAAAGGCAATGGGTACCACTACAGAATGAGCCGGAGAGTGACATGATCAAATTTGCACGTTTGAAAAACAACTTTCGGCCGGGCGCGGTGGCTCACTCCTGTAATCCTAGCGCTTTGGGAGGCCGAGGCGGGCGGAGCACGAGGTCAGGAGTTCGAGACCAGCCTGGCCAACAGAGTGAAACCCCCGTCTCTACTAAAAATACAAAACATTAGCCGGGCGTGGTGCCGGGGACCTGTAATCCCGGCTACTCGGGAGGCTGAGGCAGGAGAATCACTTGAACCCGAAAGGCGGAGGGTTGCACTGAGCCGAGACCGCGCCATTGTGCTCCAGCCTGGGTGACAAAGGGAGACTGTGTCTCAAAAAAAAAAACACAAACAAAAAAAAAAAACAACTTTGGTTGTTGTAGGAAAGATTAATTCAATCTCGAAGGGTTTTGTCTTTGCTTGAGTGTTTTTAAACATGAGGTCCTAGAACAAGACTGTAGAACAAGACTGGGGAAGGGCAAATGATAGTGGCCTGGGTCAGGGTGGAGGCAGTGGAGATGGAGAGAGGAGTTTAGAAAGGAGGCGAAGCAGAGACGCATATTTGGGAAGAGGCCGCAACAACCATCAGGGCACAATGAAACAGCAGGGAAAGTGCGTTGCCTGCGCACAGGGGAAGGTCCAGGAGTGATGGAGGCAACCTTCGGTGACTGCCGCTCTTCTCAGCACTTCCCAAGTGCAATATCGCCGGGAAGGAGGCAACTTTCTACACCACCTGCAGGAAGGGAGAGGCGGGCGGTGGACAAGAAACACCCACCAGAAGATAGTACCGAACTTCATGTTTCTCCAGAGCTCCGTGAAGTCCTCGAAGCGTACGCTGTCCGTCTCCTGGAAGCGGCTGAGCAGCGCCTCGCAGTCAGTCTGCAGGCCGGGAGGAGTCCCCATGGCCCCCGAAGCCCGCACACCTCTACCCGACTAACCAGCAGTGGTCGCCCAGGAAACCAACCCTGAACGGCCCGCCCCCTACGGCGTGCGCACACGCGCTCCGTGTCGTATTATCCGGCACTTTTAGCTCCGCCTTTATCCGGGCTCTTGCTACCGGTCGTCTGCTTAATGCGCGTGCGTGAAAGCGTTCTGCTGTTTTACTGGCTGAGATTGCTCTCACCCAGAGTGCTAAGATCCACCCTTCTATTGAAGAGGTTTAGTTGAAGAGGTTTACGTCTCAAGTGTTGTGTTTGCTCACGAGCGGTTTTAGGTCTTCATTTTCCGCTAGGTTATGTAACTTGACTCTACCCTTACTAGCACTCTCCTTTAAAGTGACCCTAGTGTGACATAAGTGAACTTTTGAGCTAGGAAAGAATAGTCCCAACCCCACCCACCCCCAAGTGGGAAGAGAAGCTAAAGAAGGCTTGCTAGGAAACAAACTGAACTCATTCTCCTTCTGGTCATCGAGAACCCTAATACTCTGTACCCACATAATACGATGCTTAATGTGTGACCCTCTCTTTGTAAACCCTGGTATTCTGCAACCACTCTTGAAAAGAAGAGCTGTATTTCATACCCTCTTGTAAACAGCCGCCCTCCCACCCCGCCACGCATTCACCCCTGTGCTACATAGTACTTAGAAAATACCTACTTCTTATATTATTATTTGGATGAAGTGCCTTTTTGTGTACACGTTGCCACCTAGCTTCCTTCCTCCAGGAGGTAGCTATGGAGTAACATTTTGAATTTTAGACCATTTCTCTGATTGAAAGATATGCTATCATTCTTCAGGAGAGGTATCCTGATATTATAGAAAAACATTGGGCTTTCTGTCTGTAAATGGAGTATCAATTCACTTTACTTTCTGATCCTTGACCTATTTTTTTGTTTGTTTTTTGGATTTGTTTGTTTTTTGTTTTAAGACGGAGTTTCGCTCTTGTTGCCAGGCTGGAGTGCAATGGTGCGGTCTCGGCTCACTGCAACCTCTGCCTCCCGGGTTCAAGCGATTCTTTTGCCTCAGCCTCCCGACTAGCTGGGATTACAGGCATGCACCACTCCACCCGAATTTTTTTTTTTTTTTTTTTTTTTTTTTTTTTTTTTTTGTATTTTTAGTAGAGACGGGTTTTCACCATGTTGGCCAGACTGGTCTCAGAACTGCTAACCTCAGGTGATCCACTCCCCTTGGCCTTCTAAAGTGTTGGGGTTACAGGCGTGAGCCACTACACCCTGCCCTCTTGACCTGTTTTTTAAATGTTATGTGATATTTTATGTCACAGAAAAATGTATGTGATGTGTGAGATAAAAAGCATAGCAGTTAAACACCTGTGCACCTTTCACCTGTGTAGGAACCAGAACATTACCAACACCTTCACATCAATCTGCGATTTCCTCCTCTGACCTATTCCTTTGCCTGTACCCTACTTTAATCACAACTACTGGTTGGGTGCGGTGGCTCACGCCTGAAATCCCAACACTTTGGGAGACAAAGGCAAGAGGATCGCTTGAGCCCGAGAGTTGGAGACCAGCCTGGGAAACATGGTGAAAATTAGCCAGGCATGGTGGTGCACAGCTGCAGTCCCAGCTACTCGGGAGGCTGAGGTGGGAGGATCACCTGAGCCTGGGAAGTGGTGGTTACAGGAGGCAGAGGTTGCAGTGAGCCAAGATCATGCCACTGCACTCCATCCTGGGCTACGGAATGAGACTGAATCTCAAAAAATAAAATAAATAACTACCTTGAATTTTGTTTCTCTTTCTCATTTATATATTTTATCACATATGTATGTATGTTTAAATGGTATATTTTTTAGTTGTGGTTGGTTTTGAGTTTTATGAAAATGGTATTGCAATTTATAATATGTGTTATTTGAATTGCTTTTAAAATTTGTTTCCAAGATTGACTCATATTATTACTCATAATTGTAGTTCATTTTTCAGTGCCAATATTCTATTGTGCAAAAATATACTGCTTATTCATTATTTCCTCAATGGAAATTTAAGTAGATTCCAGATTTTGCTATCATAAACAATGCTACTTTGATCACTTGTATATGTCACCTTTGTAGGGTTGTCAGATAAAATACAAGAGGCCCAATTAAATTTGACTTTCAGATCAACTAAAAAAAATATTCATTGTTTATCTAAATCTAAAATATAATTTAACTGGGCATATTATATTTTTGTTTGCTAAATATGGCAACTCTACTTGTACGTTGCAGGAATCTAGAGTATATACACCTAGAATTAGAATATATACCTACCATTATCATCACTGTTAAATAATAAGAGGTGCAAGTGTTCAACTTTATAATTTTAAATTGTTTTTTAGAATAGCTTGACTTGGCCAGTTGTGGTGGCTCACACCTGTAATCCCAGCACTTTGGGAGGCCAAGGCAGGCAGATCACTTGAGGTCACAAGTTCAAGAACAGCCTGGCCAACATGATGAAACCCCGTCTCTACTAAAAATACAAAAATTAGCCAGGCATGGTGGCATGCGCCTGTGGTCCTAGCTACCTAGGTATGAGAGGTATTCTCATACCTCTCACAGAGGTATGAGAATCATTTCAACCTGGGAGGTGGAGGTTGCAGTGAGCCAAGATCGCACCACTGCACTCCAGCCTGGGTGACCGAATGAGACCTGTCTTAAAAAAAAAAAAAAAGAATAGAATAGCTGGACTGATTTACACTTCACTAGCAGTGCATGAGATTTCCTACTTGAGCCGTATCATCTCACAAATTTGGCTTCTAATTGTGGTCTTAATACACATTTCTCTGATTACTAATGTGGTTGTGTATCTTTTCAAATTCTGATTTTCTATTCATATTTCCTCTACTGTGACATGCTTGTTTATATATTTTGTCTATTTTTCAATTGTGGCATTTGACTTTTTCATATTGATTTGTAGAAGCACCTTATATATTCTGGATACTAAACTGGTGTTTGTACTATGTGTTGTTGTTTATTTCCTAGGTTGTTTTTATTTACTATCTTTATGGTGATTTTTTTATGTATAGAAATTCTTTTTTTTTAATATAGTCAAATTTCAAAATCTTTTCTAATAAGGGCTCTTGTATCTTAAAGTTATAAGTGTTTTCCCTATATTTCATTATTAGTATAACTAATAAATCTTGAATGCTGAATGACTTAACACAAACTAAGCTTGTTTTTCTTTTACATTAAGTTCAATTAATGACAGGATGGGGTGAGGAGGGTTCTGCTTCAAGCAGTTACCTGCTGACCAAAGCTGATGAAAACTCTGCCATCTTCAGTGATTGACTTTCAAGGTCACCTTGAGCACCTTGAGTGACTTGGCTGGAATGTTTTAGTGAAGACATCGAGCCTGTGGACTGGAGAAGAACAAGAATGTGGAAGATTGCATGAGAGATTTTTATGGGCCAGGCCTGGAAATGGTATGCACTCAAAGTGTGGTTCACTGACAACTACTGGTCTGCAAACTGTTTATTACTTCTCCATCTCACAACAGTACAGAAATTAAGAATAAGTGCTGAGATGGTTTGGCTCTGTGTCCACACCCAAATCTCATCTCGAATTGTAATCCCCATATGTGGAGGGACGGACCTGTAATCTCCATGGTTTGAGGGAGGGAGGTGATGGAATCATGGAGGAGGTTTCTCCCATGCTGTTCTCATGATAGTAGTTCTCATGAGATGTGATGGTTTTATTCGTGTTTAACAGTTTCTCCTACACATACTGTCTCTCCCCTGCCACCATGTAAGATGAACGACCCTTCTGCCATGATTGTAAGCTTCTTGAGGCCTCCTTAGCCATGTGGAACTGTGAGTCAATTAAACCTCTTTCCTTTATAAATTACCCAGTGTCAGGTGTATTTCTTTACAGCAGTGTGAAAACAGACTAATACAAATGCTTATTAACTTTATATAGCAATTTGATGGAATAATTTGATATGAGTTTTTAGATTTTTAAAAATAATTTAATGTTATTAAAGTTTATAAATATACTGGTCCATGATAGATTGGGGGGAAATGGTTCATTACAACAGACAATTTGAGAAGCACTGTTATACACCATTTCAATCCACATTCTATTGGCCAGAATTCAGTAACATGGACTTATTCAGGTGCAAAGGTGGCTGAGAAATGTCATCCCTAATTAGGCAACCTTTCCCCAACAATAGTTCCAATCTCTGGAAGAGGTGCACACATCTTTGTTGGACCATGTATTAGCTCATTCCTGCTGCTATAACAAAGTACCATATAATAGGTAACTTAGAAACAACAGAGATTTATTTCTCACAGTTCTGGGAGGCTGGGAAGTCTAAGATCAAGGTCCTGGCAGATTCCGTGCCTGGTAAGGGCTGCTCTCTGCTTTCAAGATGGCACTTGTTGCTGTGTCCTCACATGGCATAATAGCAGAAGGACAAAAGAGGCCTAGCTAGTTCCTCCAGCCCTTTTATAAAATAATTAATCCCATTCATGAGTCCTCATGACTTAATTACCTGCTATGACCCTACCTCTTAATGCTATCACATTGGCAATTAAGTTTCAACACATTAATTTTGGGAGACATTTAGACCAGAACAGACTGCCAACATGTCTGCTGCAATTTTATTCAGAAACTCTGGAAGTATTACCTTTCACTTTTAATTTACTCTCATCCATCTAAAAATTTATTTCTATGTATGGTATAAGGATCCTATTTCACTTTTTTCCATATGTATAACCATATGTATGTATATGTATTTTCCATATGTATAATTTTCCAGCATCTGTTATTGAATAGTCCATCCTTTCCCAAAATTCACTTCTGTTATATATCAAGTTGTATGGCTAATTGCAACCAGTATACAACTGTATGGCTTTGTACCTGTTATTAAAATACCAAACCATAGTGCAGTATTTCCATTACTGTTAGTACCACTCTAAGCCTCCTTACTATCCTCAACTCAAACACTTGGACCCCCCCAGGCCACAAATCCCTTAACCTCCCAGCCTCTAAAACTGAAGTGGTTAAGCCTGGCACAGGAAGAGACCTTCAGTGCCGCTCCAGCTTCAGTCTACTCCTA